AGGGGTCCCCCCCCCCTTGGGGAGATCCAGCGGCGCGCCCCCTCATGGTATGGTATGGTAGGTCTGGTATGGTAGGTGCGGCATGGTAGTAGGTATGGTATTGGTGTGGTACGTATTGGTATGGTACAGCAGGGAGGCGGGAAACGGAGGAAAAGGAAAAGGAGAGGGTGCTCCAGGAAAACAAGATGCCCACTCAGGATGTGGAGAACAGCCATGTTATTTATCAGGCTTCGTGACCCTTCCCACTCCTCCAGGGAGGCCCCGCCTGAGCGAGGAGGGTATTCGCAAGCCATGTTATGCATCAGGTGTCGTGCTCCTCCCACGCCTCCAGGGAGGCCCCGCCTGAGCGAGGAGGATATGCGAAACCCAAACTGTCTCAAGGTTTCGCGCCCTTCCCATCCCTCCAGGGAGGCCCCGACAGAGCGAGGAGGCTAACCCCTCCACCCTCCTTGCCTTACTTGCTCTCCCGCCTTACTCTCCATCGCCTTTTCTCTTTTACCCTTTCTGCTCTTCCCTCACCCCTTCCATTGTTCCCTTGTCCTTCCTCGTCCACTTCCTGCCTCTCCCGTCAACGTCCTCCCCCTCCGATTGCTCGTCCTTCTTCCTTCCTCATGCTCCTCCTCACCAGATTCCTCTTCTTCCTCTTAGCCTTCCATCACTCTGCACTTTCTCCTCCGCCTCTTCCCTCTTCCTCCCCATTCTTCTACGTTGTTGCCTCCTCCTGTTCTCCGTCTGGCACTGCCGCAGATTTTGACAGGTTCCGATCCTGGTCCCGCCAGAGCGAGCAGGGTATCGCGATACACATCCCGCCATCTTCCTACACCTTCTGCGCCCCCCTTGTGGGGAACTCCTTTAGCAGAATTCCTTCTTCTAGGCCGGACCTCGTCAACACTGGCCGCACGCTGTTCGGCAAGCTGCCCACGCGCGGCCAGCAGATGGACCTCAACTATTTCGCCCCCGTCCCGTCGAGCGTGGACAGGCTGCTCGTGGAAGTGCAGCAGGAGATGCTGAAAGCGGGCACTCCGATGGCGGTCCGCCACAACGAGGTGGCGCCGGGCCAGCATGAGATGTCGCCAGTTTTCGGGGTTGCCAACTTCTCGTCCGACAACAACGTGTACTTCATGGAGACCTGTAACAGGGTGGCGGCCAAGCACGGTCTGATGGTGCTGTTCCACGAGAAGCCGTTCGCTGGTATCAACGGCAACGGGAAGCACGCCAATTGGTCCGTCGGGACCGACACGGGCATCAATTTCTTCTACCCAGGCAAGACGGATGAAGCACGCACCATCTATTCGGCGGCGAGCGAGGGGGGGGCGGAATGAGGAGGAGAATACCTTCTCAGAAGACGGCGGGGCCTTCCGTACGCAGAACGTGCCTTCTGTGACATTTTCTGTGTCTTCGGAGAAGGCTTAGACAACTTCCCAGAAGGCCAGGGGACTTCCGAGCCTTCTGAGAAGGCCTTCTCCTTCTCACTTCCCACCCTCGCTCGCCGCCGATCCATACTGCGGCCCTGGCCTGCCTGTCCCATGGCATCATGCAGTACAACGAGATGCTGCGTTGCGCCGTGGCGCACGCAGGCAACGACCATCGCCTCGGGGCCCAGGAGGCGCCCCCGGCAATCATCTCCCTCTACCCGGGCCAGGGCTTCGAGGCGCACGTGGACGCGGTGATCGCGGGAGGCCCCCTGAACGAGTTCAAGGCGGAGAAGAAGCTACAGCCCACCGGCTGCAAGGCGTCCATGGCCGTGGAGTCCAACGTCGAGGACCGCAACCGCACCGCACCCTTCCCCTTCTGCGGCAACCGCTACGAATTCCGCGCGGTGGGCTCCTCGCAGAACTGCTCCTTCCCGGTGATGATCTGCAACACGATCATGGCAGCGGGCATGAGCGCGCTCGCCGAGAAGATCGAGGGCGGCACGACGGCGCGCGACGCCGTGGCCGAGATGTACAAGACGAACCGTAACGTCATCTTCACCGGCAACGGCTATTCTGCCGAGTGGCCGGTCGAGGCGGAGAAACGCGGCCTCTCCAACCTCAACACGACGCCGAAGGCCATCAAGCATTGGGCATCCGACAAGAACATCAAGCTCTTTGAGACTCTGGGCGTCTTCACCGAGGAGGAGACCAAGGCGAGGGCCGAAGTGATGTACGAGGCCTACAACACCACCCTCAACGTCGAGGCCGAAACCATGGTCGACATGGTCAACACCGGGTTCATTCCAGCCTTTGCGCAGGACTTGGCCCTGTACAAGGACGCCCCCGACCTGGCGGGCAGCCGCAAGGCCTTGTACGCCTCGGTGAAGACCGAGACGGAGAAGCTGGCGAAGATGATGAAGGAGACTCCTCACGACATGGCCGCAGAGGCCGACTACCTGTGCGAGAAGGTCAAGGACCAGATGGGCAAGGTGCGGTCTCTGGTCGACGAGGCGGAGGGCCTCCTGGAGAAGGGGCTCTACCCGTTCCCGACATACGAGTCCATGCTGTACCACCATCACCATTGAGCTCGAGCCGCGGCGCGCTCGAGCGAGTTTTGCCATCAGTCTCACGTTGTCGACGGTTCGACACGTGCGTCAGCCTCTTGACGTTGCCGGTCTCCTCTCACTGTTTCCTGATCTACCCGTCGCCCGATTCTGGTCCGCTTCTCCACCTTGTCCCTTTGCTCCTGTTTTGTCTCCCATGCTCACCACTTGCGTCCCCGAGCGCTCGCTGGCAACAGACCAGCGCTCGGGCGGCGACAGAGGAGGTCGAGCGAGCGTGGCTGGATGGGGGGGGAGCGGGTGGGTTGGCTGTGGTCGATGGAGCGTGGTTTTGACCCTGCTCCTTTGCTGGCAGATCCCCGAGGAGACAAAATCTCCCATGGGTGCTTCTCTCCAGAGCCGGAGCAGGAGTGAGGTCTCTCTGGACATGTTGGGCAGATCTCTGCCTTTGTCCGGTGCTCGCGAAGATTTCATTGGGCAGAGCCCGTGAACAATGTTTCGGAGGCGTTGCGCGGCTGCTCGAGCGGTCGGTTAGATGGTTACTTATCTCCTCCTCCTCCTCCTCCTTCTCCTCCTCCTCCTCCTCCTCCTCCTCCTCCTCCTCCTCCTCCTCCTCTGTCTCTCTCTTCGCATTTTCCGAAGAGTTGCCGATTGAGCGCCCTTCGGCGCACGCGTCCTGCCGGATGCTCGGCTCGGGGGTGCTGGTGGGGCCGTGGCGAAACGGCTCAGGGTGCAATGCCGGCCTTGGGGGAGGGGCCGAGATCCCAGGGTGCCCGTGCCACGAGCGGGCTGTGCCGTCGGAGGAGGGGGGGGCACTCCCGGAGTGTGGGGAGGGGAAGTGGCAGAGGGGTGTGCTGGCGGGGGGCCCCGAGGCACACTGTGGGTCCCGCGGGGGCGCGGCCGCGGAGAGCGGCCACTCGGCCAGAGCCTCGTGGACGGCCTCTGGCGCCCTGTCGTCCTCCTCCTCCTCCTCCTCCTCCTCCTCCTCCTCCTCCTCCTGACGTTTCTGACGTTTCTCGCTACACAGCGTCTTGTCGCGCGCCCCGCGGGCGCGGAGCGCGCCGCAGCGGCCCACTAGGGCCGTGCGGGCACTCGAACAGCGGCCCCGGGAACCCGACCCCGAGGAGAACAGGGAGGAACAGGGACCAGGTAAAAACCTCAGGAGAGGGAGGAGGGGGCCGGGTTTCTGAAAAAAGGGGGCCCGTCAGGGCCCATGGGCGGGCGCCGCGCGCGCCCACGCCCGCGGGCGTCAGCCGGCGCGGCACGGCGCACGGCCAGGCCGACGGCCTCTTCGTGGGCCGGCGGCCGCACGGTGGCGGCTGGCCTCCCTTCGGCGCGGCGCGCTGAGCCCAGCCGCCGTGGGGGCGCTTCGAGGGGCTGGCTGCCCCCCGCAGTGGCGACCTCCACCCTTCGGCGCCGCGCGCTGTGGAGGCTCGCCGAGCCACTCGTGGGCTCCAGCAGGCCCACACTGGCGGCTGCTCTCTCCTCCTCGTGCCGACTAAGGTCCTCCTCCTCCTCCTCCTCCTCCTCCTCCTCCTCCTCCTCCTCCTCCTCCTCCTCATGGGCCACGGGAGGGAGGGAGGCCCCGCCTGCCGGGGCGCACCCCCCACCCCTCCCAGGTGGGGTCGGAGCAGACGGGGTCGGAGGATCGCGCCGCGTCGCCGATGCGGCTCGACGTCGCCAATGCACAGCCGACGTCGACGCTGCATCGCCAGTGCATCACCGATGCATCGCCCATGCTTCGCCCATGTATCGGCGATGCGGCGTGAGCCTCCGACCCCATCTGCTCGGACCCCAAGAGGGGGGCCAGAAGCAGGGGCCCTCCGCCGAACCCGGACGAGCTGCCTGGGGAGGATCCCAGGGGAACAACAAGCGGCATAAACATAGCAACTCGGAGGTCTGCGCGAATTTGTCGGATCGGCGCTGGGGCCCCTCTGCGGCGCCTCCGGCGCCGCCCCTGGCGCGCTCCGCGCGCCAGGGAGGGGGGTCCAGCGCCGATCCGAGAAATCCGCGCGGACCTCCGAGTTTTTATGTTCGTGCCACTTTTTGTTCGAGCGAAGGCAAGCGAAGGCAAGCTTGGGGGGGGCAGGCTCGATCGGGGGGGGCGCATCCCCAGACGTCTGACACCTGACGCGTTGGGCACATCAGGGCGGCGGTCTTTCGAGTGTTCGTGCCCCTTTTCCTTTCCCCATAGGATCCGTGGTCGGGCGAGTCGGACGCTCAGCCGGCTCCCGGGCGCGCGGGGGCGCGACAGGTGCGAGGCCTTCCTGCTGGCCCTGCCGTGCACCGTGGACCGGCTCCTGCAGGCGCGCCGCCTCCGTTCGCAGTCGTCGTCGTCGTCGTCGTCGTCGGCGGCGTCATTTGTTGATCGTCGCCTGTCGTCGTCGTCGTCGCCTGTCGTCGTCGTCGTCGTCGTCAGTCGATATTCGTCAGTCGCCTGTGGCCGTCTTCGCCGCCGCCGTGGTTGTCGTCGTCGTCGTCGTCGTTGTCGTCATCGTCGTCGTCGTGGTCGTCGACGTCGTTCGTTGATCGTCGCCTGTCGCCGTCGCCTGTCCGTTCCTCGTCGTCGTCGTCGCAATAGCCGTCGCCGTCGCTGTCGCCGTTGCCCTTGCCAGTGCAGCCGCCTTCGCTGTCGCCGTCGCCGTCGCCGTCGCCGTCGCCGTTGTCAGTTTACCGTCCGCCGTCGTCGTCGGTCGGGGCTGGAGGATCAGAGCTGTTTGACCGCCGTTGGCCGCCCTGTTGGCCCTCAGGCCTCGGAGGCCTCCTCGGCAGGGGCGCGGGACCCCGAGGGACCCTCCGGAGGTCCTGGGGCGACGTGAGAGGCCCGCGCTGAGTCTTCGTGGCTGTTGTTCTATTCTTCGCCTCCTTCTCCCCCTCCTTCTTCGGAGAAGCCGGAGGAGGAGGAGGAGGAGGAGGAGGAGGAGGCGGAGGATAATTATCCGAGGCTTGGGTTTTACATATCCACAGCCTGGGGAGCCGATCGTCCTAGACCTATGTAGGCGGTGGATATGCATACGTATATAATATTGTACAGCTGCATCCCATTGTATGGTTTATCACATTCTGGTATTGTAGCATAGTTGTTGTAGTGCACCGCTCGATATCTTGTGATTGTGCATTCTACTACTCTCTACAATATAATATTATATGGTATTATTTTACATACTCTCTTATATACCAAATCGTGCAAGTACTATATATTTGATTTCGTTACATGCTATTTTATGTTGCCGTGATAGACCATCTGATGTCAGAGTATAGTGCAGTATATTATATAAGATGATCGACTGCCGCACTATGCTGCACTCCGTGCTATTATGTTATTGTATACCATGTAATATCATAGTATGTTTACCAAGTCGTATCATAATATGTCCAATCGCATGGTATGTTCTTATTCCGCATATTCCATTACATCGTACTTCGCCCATCATATCATTTCATAACATCGTATAGTATGTTGAATTATGATATATGCTATAGTTCCGGTATTATGATCATGACATGACGTTCTATCATGCCATCATGAACATGGCATGATTGTATTATCGCGATCAAAACAACATGTTCTTACTTTGGGTTATGCTAGTAAAGCTATAATGTATGATAGAGCCGTCGATTAAAGTATGCTATATTGTAAATGTATACATTATTTACAATAAGTATCCACTGGTTCACGCTTGCAGAATACTAGTGGTCTCTGGGGTCCATCCTGCGGAACAAGAGCAGGAGGACGATGGAGGAGGAAGCGGACGACGACGACGAAATTAACGAGGAGGAGGAGGGCGACGACGACAGCATGAGTTAACCATGAAGGCCTTCGCAGATTGTTCGACTTAAGAGCCTCTTGGAAGCAGCTTGGAGCCATCTTGGAGCCACTTTGGAAGCTTGTGGTGCCCTCTTGGGACCCTTCAGATTATGTTTTTAAGGTCTGGGCGATGAAGGCCGTGATCGGCCCTCTCCCTCCCCTCCATTGGGTAACGTCACGCTGTTATGTCCACATTTGCAGGACTCTCGTGAGGACTCTACGGGGATTTCTGACTGATCCCTGGAGCCCCCCCGATCTCTGGGGGGAGGAGCGGGGGAGAGAGGTACGGAGACGAGGGAGGAGCGAGGACGAGCAGGGAGGAGCAGGGAGGAAGAAGAGGAGGAAGCGGAGGAGGAGGAGGAGCAGGAGGAGGAGGAGCAGGAGGAGGAGAAGGAGGAGGAGGGGGAGTTCATATTGCGAAGGCCTGACGGCCGGTGCCGCCGACCCTGTTCGCAATGCGCAGCAAGAGGCACGGGCTGTGGGATGGTTTGGGGGAACGGGGAGAAGGACGAGAAGGTGGGGGAGGGAGGTGTCGTATCTGACCCGGGACTTCCCCGGGACTCCCCCGGGACCCCCCCCGGGACCTCCTCTCCCCCCCCCGTCGGGGAAGGGAAAGGGAAGGGGCTTCCCTTCGACTCAATGACGACGTTGCTCAAGGTCGGTACGGGGGGGGGGCGTCGTATCTGACTCGGGGGGGGGTCGCTACCCCCCCCCGCTACCCCCCCCCCCCTCCCGGCGGGGGAGGAATGAAAGGGAAGGGGCTTCCCTTCGACTCAATTACGAGGTTGCTCAAGGTCGGCTTGGCTGGAGCCCAGGGGAAGAGGAGTCCCAGGGGGGGGCGTCGTATCTGACCCGGGGGGGGGGTCGCTACCCCCCCCCCCCTCCCGGCGGGGGAGGGATCAAAGGGAAGGGGCTTCCCTTCGACTCAATTACGAGGTTGCTCAAGGTCGGCTTGGCTGGAGCCCAGGGGAAGAGGAGTCCCAGGGGGGGGCGTCGTATCTGACCCGGGGGGGGGGTCGCTACCCCCCCCCCCTCCCGGCGGGGGAGGGATCAAAGGGAAGGGGCTTCCCTTCGACTCAATTACGAGGTTGCTCAAGGTCGGCTTGGCTGGAGCCCAGGGGAAGAGGAGTCCCAGGGGGGGGCGTCGTATCTGACCCGGGGGGGGGGTCGCTACCCCCCCCCCCTCCCGGCGGGGGAGGGATCAAAGGGAAGGGGC